ATAGCTGCACTGCTTTTTAAAGTGAATTTTATAATGAGCTGTTGGCCTTCAGTCTCCCTTTCCTGTCCCTTCCTTGTCTACTTTTAAAAGCCTTGTTTACAAGGACACCCAGCCTTTACAACGGGGAGGTCACAACCGCCCAAACACAAATTACTAAGTGTTTTAAATGCCTTGGCCTTCATCCTTACTGATTCCAAACAGATGATCTCTACAAGCATCCAAGCAATCAATGAGGTCATTTCAGGCTAATGTGTTTTCCTTGAACAGTAATTTATTGCTCTGAATAAAATAATTGAGAAAGTACACCACAGGATGAGATTTTTGTAAGAACTTAAATGTAAGGTGGCGCAACCTTTTAGAAAGATTCGTTTAGGAAAAAAACAAATTTTGCGTTGTAATCAGATATGTATTGTTCCTGTTTGCTGCAGACACTGGAAAGACTGGAGGTGCACTGGAAAAAATAGACAGTCTCTGCTCTCACAGAGCTTATTTTCTAGAAGGGGAGTAGTTGGAATAGAATGCAATAAGTACTAAAATATCAGTACAGGAGACTAAGGAGACATGATGACTAAATATAACATGGTAGTGAAATCTGAACAACGTTTTTAGTTAATATTTTCGTGCCTATATTGAAGTCTTAGTTTTGACAAATATACCCGGGTTATGCCAGTTAGTAATATTAGAGGTAGTTGGGTGAAGGCTATATGGGTACTCTTTGTACTATCTTTGCAACTCATCTGTAAATCTAAAGCTATTCCAAAATAAAAGTTTTCTTAAAAGAATCCGTTTCAAGAGCCCTAAGCAGGAGCACCTGACCTAGTCTCAAGGTCAAAGGCTTTCAGGGGAAGTGATATTTAAGGTGAGAACTGAAGAGCAAATCGAAGTTAACCAGGTAAACAAGAAGACATAGGACGAGAGGTTCTGAAATAGTACACAGGATGTTCAAAAGTCAAGAAGCAGGAGGATGCATGGCAAATTCTAGCAGTTGAATAACACTCAGTATGGCAGCCACTTAGAAGAGTTGAGGGGGTCGACAGGAGAAGTAGTGGTGGGAACTAAAGCTAGAGTGAACAGACACTGTCAAACGATTGCCTGTGGGTAGATTTCAACTCATAACCACTTACAGAACAGAGGAGAACTGCCCCACAGAGTATCTGAGACTAGAAAAAAAGTTTCCCTCTCCTCCCCTGTACATTTTTGTGGAAGTACATTTCTCCTGTAGAGTGGCTGGGGAGTTCAAAAGCCTCTTGCTTCCCTGTGTAGCACTTAACCACGGGGCCATCAGGCCTTAAAAACCATGCGAAGATGTGGGGCCTCTGAGAGAAATCCCAGAGGAAATAAAAATGCCTAATAAGTAAGTGAAAAGTAACCTCCTTTACTAATAATCAAAGAGATGGACATTTAAATACTGGATATTACTTTTCCATATGATAAAATACTATGCAAACATAAAAATAACATTTATTGACACTGAATGAAATAGTAGGCAGTAAAATATGACATAAAACTATATAGTTACATATCATTTACATAAAGATAGTACTGTTTATATATATAAATATATATTAGTAGATATGGCTGCATGGACATCTGGCGATAGGTCTGGTGACATAATTTGCAGGGCTCAGTGTACATGGCTTCTTGTTGAAAAATTATTAAGAATTTCAAGATGGCAATAGCAGAGCATTAAAACAAGCCTGGGGCCTTTCTGAACGTGACTGGGCGACTGCACAGGTCACACAGTCCTGAAGCTGGACCGTCTGTAGAAAAAAGGACAAAGGAAATGTTCCCAAATGACAATAGTGAGTGTCTGTGAGTTTGTAGTTACTATTGACTTGTATTTCACATATTTTCAAAAATCTCAGCAATGGATATACTTCTATTTTATAATCATGGAAAATATAGTATCTGTCTTTCAAAAAAAATCCAAGTTACACTGAAAACAGTGAATTGTCTTATATTTCACTTTGGGGTTCTTTTAATTATCCATTTTAGGCCACTGGGAATATCATATACTCATTTTAAAATTTCGGTACTATTTTTTAAGTCACCATAGAGAATTGAGCAGGGTATAAAGATGAAGTTATCTCTTTGCTAAGCCAAAAAAAGCATACCAAGTTGAACCACAAATAACTTTTTCCCATCTATTTCTTATCTTGTATGAACTTATCTGGTTGGTTGGACATTGAACACTTGCTTGGATGGTACAATGCTGAAAATGCCTTCTCTCCCAGCCTTCTATCTACATTCATCTGATTAGCAGCCTGTACAGCCACAAGAGAGGTCTGCAGGAGGCCTGTTACATCCTGAGTATTTAGTACTCTAATGAAAGCTTAAGTAATAAGTTGCTTTGTTTTATTTTTGGAAATTTCGGTAAGAAATAGATTTTATTTATTTATTATTTTGAAATGAACTTGTAGGTTATTAGAGACTCCAAGTCCACTTCAGTTTTACTTTCCCTCCTTTTTATCCTCTCAGACCAGTATTTTGATCTGAGGGGCAAGGAATCTGGAGGGTAGGAATACATTGTTTTTTAAGCAGAAAGATTGTACCTGAAATTGTTTTTTAAAGGGGGGTGTAGAAAGGGGGAATGGATCGCAGGGAGCTACATATAACCTCCTCTCTGGGGGA